CTTTTAGACTTTTAAGATAAATAAACCTATGTATATTATGTAACGACCATATTTGACTGTTTTGATGAAATTGATGAAAGGCTATAAAGAAATATAAAACAATATTAGTTATATATATGTACTCATATAAGTTTTAGAAAACTATTTCATGAAGTACAGGTCCTTTCAAATTACCACTAAAATTTATTTTTTTTTCATTTTAAAGTGTCATATACAAAACTATATTAAATTATTTTGATAAGTCCAGTATAGGAGGAATAAATAATTATAAGATTTAAATAAATATGATACTAAAAAAATAAAACTTTATGACTTAAGTCTTATTAAAAAAAAGATTTTATACCTGTCAAAATAATTACTAGGCAAAAGCCTTGTTACCTTTTCTGCTGTATAGTTAATGATTTTTTTAAAGTGTTTTATAAAAGTATCTGTGGCACGTGTATGTGTATATATAAATACACAGACCTGAAGATATAATCTTCAGATAAAAGCTACTCTTTGTTGTAAAATTTGTATAATCATTATTATTGGTATATCATTGCATGTGAAGATTGCATCAACTTTCTTTTATATTGAATAAATAAGAAACGGTAATAAAGAAGAAAATTTCAACGAAATGAAACAAAAAAATCATAAAACGAATTGGCATCCAAACGTATATATATGAATGCTTAAATTTTAAACAAATCACATTAAAAATGATTTATTGTTGACGTTGGAGTCATGATCTTCAACCGCTATTACGTGCGCGGGCGCAGGGTGGCAGCGCTGATAAATCATTGTGGCGCTTCTTATTGGACGATGTGATTGATTGAAGAACATCTCTGAAGACTCAGCCCTGGCTCAAGTACTATTACCGTATTATTAAACTCGCATTTGGTTCGCGTATTTAATATTTCGGCAATTTAAAAGTCCTTACGTATAAAGTCTTGCGGCGAATTTAGATAAAGTTATCTTGTAATCGTGATGCGTGGTTTGTTGTGTAGTTTAAATAAAATCATGTTGCTGCTCAGAAGATTTTTTTTTTATTATTTTACTTAAATAGTACTTGATAGATTTGGCAATAGGAACAAAGTAATGTGTTAAATATCTCACCAAATTTTAGTGTAGTATAATGACGAATTTATTGTATGTTTATATACTTATTATGGTTTAAAAAAGTTTTAGAATATAAGTGAAATTGTATAAAATTATATTTAATTTAAAATATATATTAAGTAAAAGAAATGTTTAGGTTAATAACCTTTTTGAGCTGTCTGGACATGATAGAACTTCGTAACAGGAGTAGATCATAAAATTTCTATTACAAGATTTATTTCTAGTAGGTGTTTCTATTACAGTATATAAATAAGACTATTTGAAGCTCTTAAACACCTTTCCTCTATTACACTTCAATTTATTACTAAATTCTAATATTTCGCAAGACATTACTCCTGGGACTACTCACATATATATAATAGTTATCAGATAAACTGTCATAGTTCCATATTTTGTCCTTAACAAAAATTAACTATAATTAATTGATTGCTATTTAGATATACAAGTGAGTTATTCTATGAAGTTACGTTCCATTTAAACAGTTGAAAAGTAGTTATTAACCTGTTTCATAATAACATACCTTAGGGCGTACATTCATTCATTTTAACCCATAGAAGTGTTATTTGATTATTTATAATTATAACAGATTTTGGATTAAAACTTGCTCTAATTTTTACTATTTTACTGGTTTACTGTGTAGCTGGGAATCAAAATTAATTAATTACCTTACTAAGTGAAAACATTAACAAAGAAAACCTATTGGTATAAAGGAATTCAAAGCTATGCATATAAAACTTCTCTATTGAAAATTTATTGCTATAACAATAACCCACAAAATAAAAGAATGTCAATGACCAATAAAAGCTTTACTATTAACTAAAAACAAAAACCAATCAAGCAAAGTCAATTACTCAGTTAACGATTTGACACGAAGCAAAAACATTCGCGTGGATTCACAATTTTTCATCAATTTAGTAACGATTAAGTGATTATATCATTATAAAATTTAACAATCATGTATTTTAAAACAAATTGTTTTCGTTCTATACACATATAGATATATATAAAAAATATTTAAGCCTTTAAGTGCTGTGCTATTTCCTATAGATAAGATTATAGCGATCATTAATCTTAAAATTGAACTTAATATATATTTCGTTGAGCGAGTATCGATTAATTATGAGAATAGATTAGCAGTAGGCGGTACCAAACTCGGTCGATCCATGTTTGCTTAATTACTTTGCTTATCCGGACAGGACTCGTTCTCTGTATTGACTTCTGGGCTTAAAAGGTAACCCAATTAGATGCTTTGGAGGTCTCTTGTGAAAAGGCCTGTCATCTCTTTAATATACATACATCTATACGTTATAAAGAAATTTTGATTGATATATTCTTGTATATTGGTATGTAGCTCCCGAATTCGCTTGATGTTTTGTTCATCAATTCCTAATTATATATATTCCATTTTATGTATGAGATAAACAACTTTTGTTTTCCTTTTCGAAATATAGTAATTTATCGAAATTAGTTATTTAGGTTCTATAATAAAGAGTTAGAAGAACATAAGAAACGTAGCTAAACTCATAAAAGTTTTCACGTGTACATATAAAATAAATAACCGTATGTTATTTTAAATGAGAAATTTAGGAATAATTAATAAAATGAATTTTGTATAAATAAAAGTACAAAAGTGAACCTTCTTAATAACATGGGAACGAAACTAGTCTTTTTTTTAAATATTGATTAATTATCTTCACAACAACAGACGCTTCAGACAAAACTGGAAGCAATATTTTAAAACATACAAAAATATTTACGAGACTCTAAAATTTTATAATTAGATTTGGCGAAGGCCCGCCCTCTTGGATAACTAAGTGATGGGTTAAGTTATAAGCGTGTAATTTAAAACATTCATTCTGTTGGAGAAAATTAACTAAGCGGAATCAGTAGCTAATAGTAATAATAAAGGGTTAGCTCCTTAAGTTGGTGAAGTTTAATAGTTATATTTAACTCAGTATAATTAATTTTAAACTAGAACCTTAGAGCTCTTTTTGCTTTTTCAATTATATATTGGATAGTTCTTGACTATCATTGCACCAGATATTTAGTTTAAATTAAGTCTTTGATAGAATATAAACTTCGAAATATTTCTGCAATATTATAAAAATATAATGTTTTACCTTTCTTAATAAATATCTAGGTTACATCTGCTAAAATTATTTAATTTTTTCGCAATACTAAGAGCGAATAGTATATTTAAATAAATATAGTTTTCTCTTATGAATTATACCGCACATTCAGTATCAGACAGTCGGGAGGTGGAGAGATGTCCTGATGAGGATAAAAATTCGATTACAATTAAATTAATTGCACTCCTATTTGTTTTTCGTGGTCTGTATCTGATTAAAAGATAATGTAACACCACCTTTATAATAAGAAACATTATTATTCCATAGATATTTCTAGATGTTAATACACTTATAATGTTTTCCAAATAAAAATTATATTTTTTGTGTATAATTTATAGTAGTCTCTGTTACGCTCATTGCTCTGTAAATAATGAAGTATTGGTTTACCTATTTTTATATACAAATATAATAGTCACGATATTTCTGAAAGCATTTCTTAATAGGAAACAATTAATATTGTACATTATAAACCAGTATTGTTTAAATCAGTCGCCGAAATAATAGTTAGCTTAAAGCAACATTATAATTGAAATTTTAGATTAATAGCTCTTTTGTAAACCCACGCTCTTCCCACGGGCGTGTAATTGAATTTCTTATTGGATTACATTTTAATTAGCTGTGATTACTATTAATGAGTGTCACTCAATCAGGTATTGTTCGCTACGTGATGGATTGAACTGTCTTCTGATTCGATGCCGATGATTGATTCTTCGTTAATATTACATCATTGATTGTTCCTCTTATCGTTTAACGTGAGTTAAATTCTTTGAATTAATATCATCGTAATGTCTTTCAAGACAAATAACAAGTTATAATTACTGATATATAAAGTTGTGAAGTAGTTTTAACGTAAAAAAGATTTTCTGTAGGTCAGATATTAAAAGAACAGTATGTTATTTGAAAACCCTTTATTTTATGGAACCTTAATTGTGTCTATTTCAAAATAACTGCCATTTTGTACAGCTGTGGTTTTTGTTGTAACTGGTTTTATGTTTTTGCAAATCTCTTTGGTGTATTAGATCAAGCTGCGACGGTTCTATTTAATGGGAAAATAATATAATAATCTTTCAAACGAGCCAATATGTAATTGAGATTTCAAATTGTTAAGATTCATGTTTCCTTAAGATGTTAATGTACATTATTCATTTGTATGAAATGTTATATATGTATCTTATAATGAATTAAAAAAAAAATATTTTCAAAAAAAGAAGAGAACCGCTGGAACTTGGTCTACATCGTTAACAAAAATTTACATAATTTAATTAATTCTCTGTTAATTTTCATCAATAAATCATATTCTTATTAACATATTTAACTGGTTTGTGCTACACAGATTTTGATTTATTGTCTTTACGATTTATACAAAGATAATATTAAATCTTCTAGAATGTTCAGCAAAAATAACACTGTGTATAAACAAAATTCTTATAAGATAATACGAGATACTAATTTAATTTATAATAAATAATAAGGCATAGAACTGGAAGGAAAAATATATAATAACTATATACTAATAGCTTTCAATTACCTCCTAAATTAATAATAATTTTATACATACAGTTTACACGTAAATTAATTTACTATTGCCGAACAGCAATTCAATTGTTACTGACACAGGAAACAAAAGAAGTAAGTACGTATAGAAACTTAATTTGATAAAATCACACTTGCAACTTCCCTTAACCTTATTTTTAAATACTTTGTAAGCTCTCAGTCAGTAACAAAGACGCTACTAGTAACTACATTCCATTATCCTCCTAACACAGCCTCAGCTCAACTTATCAAGTCTGTATGGTGTCGTTGTCTTAACATTTCCAACCTCAGTTCGTGTTCTCGAGCCGCCATTCGTAAGGCAGCTATACTTGAACTCCTGCGTTCTACTTCAGGGCCTGGTTGTATTGGGGGGGATTCGCTGCCAGGAGATATGGGGGGCGAGACCGGTGGAGGGTCCGGAGATTGTCTGGGAGCTGCCAAGCCAGCAAGGAGCGAGTGGAAGGGAGGAGCCGAAGAATACATCGGAGCGCTGAAAAGCGGTGGCCGAGATAACGGCGTTCCGAGGTATTGCGTTCCCAGCACTGGGGTACTATTATATCTGCAAAATAAATTAGGAAATTAAATATTTTTATTTTCATATATATTCTCAAGTGTTTAATTTTAAGCAACTTGTTTACTACCTAAATGATGCCAAAGCGTTTGCGTCAAACGGTTTTCTGAAGCCGAAGCCGAGTTGTGAGAAAGGGTTCGGCATTGAAGCGACTACGGATGGGGGAGGTGCTGCGCCCCCGGCCAGATAGGGATTGTAAGGGTGCCCTTGAGGCCCCACCTTCTCCTGTTTCCTCCATTTAGCACGACGATTTTGAAACCACACCTGCACAGAATAATATAATCATTGTATAATATAATCCTTATAAAGACAGGGCTTAATACACATAACGCTACATCTACTGAGTGTGATGATGTCAATTTGAACATATTTATTATACGATTTTCGCTCAAAAAATTTTATGTCCGAAAATGTTTTAGACATAAACTTGTAATTGAGCAGTACTGGGAATAGGTTTTATTCTTCTCGCTTACAGAGACTAAAACATTAAGTAAATTTAACACACATATGAAACTGAACAAGTAATTTAAAAAGATGTAATACAAAAGAAAACACAAATATAACATCTACTTGTGGAATTAGATATTTAGGTGTTTTATTGAAGTTTAAAATGAAATAATCATTCGCATAGATTGTAATCGAATTAAGATTTTACCTCTTGATCTGACGAACAAACAAGTTGAATCGAAATAACAAACAAGTTCTTTATGTTTTTTCAATCAGTTAAAAACTGAATTGATTGGTGTAAAAACAGAAACTTTATTATTATTAAATACAAATTATCAATTGGGATATTTGTTTGATACTATCAAAATATATGTCACAAATAGAACATGCTGAATATTTAATTGGAGGCAAATTAAAATTGATTGACTCGTTTCGCGTTCACATCTGAATGATACGTGTTTAGACGCCATATGCAGACGTAGTAACAAGTGCCAGTACCATAATCGGTTTTCTATACATATTGGGCGATGAAAAAACATTGAATTTCTAATGTCTCGCTATAACGCCCCCTGGTGATAGCTACATGCATTTATGGCCGACGCCGTCCTATCAAACGACCCGTTTTGAATTATACAACAAAAAATATGATTTGATAATGTCACGAATTAACTAACTGGTTTTTATACAATATCTGCCAACGAATTCTCAACGTGAAAATCGTTTTAATACGTACGTAGGTATTTATTGATAATATTCTGTTGGATGCGAACATTGACAAGGGATAAGAAGTTGCCGGTGTTTCTTTTTTATTTTAATGAATTTGAACAGAAATAACTCATTAAGACAATCTTATCTTGTTACATGACTTTCAACACAAACTGCAACGTCGCAGGAATATTTATCGTGTAATCTTTTATTTTTTTTTGTGTTTTTTGAACATGTATTTGGCCGATTTTATTAGAAAAAATATCTTGAAAGTAGAAGGTGTAGTACCTTATATAACAGTTATTACAAGTACCATTTGCTGGTCTGAAGTAAATCATTGCTAGGAATTTATTTATAAAAGATTTAAATCATATTTTATTAGAAATCAAGGCTTATTATCATTTAATTTTATTGAAATTAAATGCCATTATAATTTGTATTAATATATTCGATCACCCATCACGATTATGTCCTTGAATTTCGGTTGCTTAACATCCATTAATCGTATACACATCAAAATAAATATAAAATATCAATTATTAATCTTATTAGTATAAAATAAACATAACATAATACAAAAACCAGCTCAACTCGTCAACCTTGTGGAATAATAAAAAAATATATATTGATTGATTTCATATTACAATAAATATGTATGAACTCGGATTGTAGATGATCCGTCTTTACGTTTGTTGATATTTTAATTTAAATCAATTCCAATGAACCGAGATCTTATTCCAGCAGTGGGACATTGGACTTTAGAAGTTTTTTTCTTAATTAAATCATATGTTAAATACGAGTTGTAAAAAAGATCTTCGGGAATGTTTCGTTTAGAAGAACAATTTTATTCATCGTTCCAATCTAGTCCTAACTGGGTTATGATAAGGTTTATTTTGATATGCATTGATGTGTTCGTTAAGTTTACAGTCGATTTTGGACGCGTCTTTATGTAGTTAGAAACGAATTTATACGACGTAATTGGTAGCGGACACGTCATGAGAATATTGAGTATTCACGGACGAAAAGAGACTGACCTACACAGATTACGGCAGTTGTTTGTAGTAATTGTTATGCGATTTTAATACTTCCCTGTAACCTTAAATACTTTTTGGAAAATTAATATATTTCAAACCTTAAATAGTTTTTTTGTTACGGCTTACATTGAGAAGAAATAAAGCGGTGATTTAACTAAAAAGCAAGCGTTGTTTTTTTTAATAGTAATCTATTGGCAGTCTAGGACCAGGTTAATCACGATACGTTGATGATTACAATTTTTTTTAGAATTACAGGTTTCACAAAATATTTCTAACTTCAGACAAATTTATTAACTTGGCGACTTTAAATCCTTCCAATAATTAAGACATAATATGTAGTGATTTAGCCAAGTTGGAAGGCATGCGAAATAATAATAAATAAGAAGGACCCTTTATGACAAAACAATTGGAAATATAAAAGTATGAGCTTATGAAATAAAATTATTGAGAGAAGAATCCAACTTAATTAAGTTGTTTCAAAAATTGTTTCACGTTATTGGTTCAGAGCTAATTTGTATTCAGATAATTCCTCGCAAAAATAAACGTTATGACTACAAATGAGTGAACACATAAAAAAATTTATGTGCAATATGGCATACACGTATATAATTCTCGTAAAACATCATCAATTTAATTGCAATCGTTTTTGCTTTACAGTTGTCGTTATGAAATTATTATTTATAATTCAGCGGAAAAACCGCCGCAATTGAGTAAAAAACAATTATAAATACTGGCAAGAAATATACACATTTATATGTATGTATATATTTTTTGTTTTTTTGTGATCTTTTTTTTTCGAAAACACGTCAATCATTATTAAAATCATTACTCACAAGATTAAATTATTTTTTAATTCCGTTATATACCTATATTTATGTAGTTACACTACTCAGAATTGGAGACGAGCAAAGCTGTCATTTGTACTACAAATATATTAATTTGCCGCTCGCATGTAATGAGGGGGTTAGCAACTGCAATTACCACTTACATTGTAAAATCTCCGAAGCAGATAGTGGGTATTACATTCATTCTTTTATTGCATTCGTATTTATTTTCGTTTTATTTATAGATCGTAAAATTTTATTGGTAATTAGCGGATACATAATTAATGCGAATTATGACTTCATAAGTTCATGTTTCATACATAGATTTCGATACAAAATAGCTTTAGATGTGGCAGCACGTTTAAAAATATATTACGCATTTATTTTAAAATCTGTCAGTTGACAGAACAAACCTTTTTGGTAATAATGGAAATACTCAAAAAAAAAAAATTAAATATATTTTTCAATTTAAAAATAGAATTATATATTAATTTATCTAATACGTTTGGTGCATCCAACATTTCTTACGGAAGGTTTTTAACTTTTCACGAAGAAACCAGACGGCCTTCAAAATTATCCTTTGAAGGTTTTCGTTCCCTTTGATGTAAGGAACCATAATAATGTATGTAGTAAATTAATCTCCTTATACTGAGTTTTATAGTGATTTTTATTTCTCTTATTCTCTTATTATGATTAAGATTGGTTATAAGGGAGTCTTATTATATTTTATAAGAAATGTTGTATTATATGACCTTATTGTTAATATGTATATGGTTATATTTTTAATAATTATATTATTTTGCTTAAAATTATCATGAAATCTTTTAGTGTAAAATATAGTTTCCTTAACCTATCTTCAGGCATAGGTTTAAAATTTAAATTGCTTTTGCAACGATTGCTAGATACATATAAATAAATAAATACAAGAGTATATACTTTATATGTATAAACTCCAAATGAACCATCTATCAATATAATATTATGACTTGTATTTGAAATTTACTGTCTTATCCTTATCCAGTAACTATTACAATTTTCATTATTTCTTTTAATATTTTATTTTAATTGTTAGAATAATCTAATGACATTAAATACCTGTATTCTCGCTTCCGTTAATCCAATTTTCATCGCCAACTCCTCTCTATAACAAAAGAAAATATTTTTTTTACAACTACATAGTTAATTATAGATGTTTTTTGGTACATCAAATACATGAACATTGATGGTTAACTCAATACAGTATGACTTGATTACTTATTTATAGAGAAATAAGAAATAAATTATTTCCTTAAAAAAATTAATTTGAAATAAAATCCGTTGTTTTGAAAAAAACGATGTTTGTTTTTATTAGATGGACTACATACATATTTTTTGAATCACGTAAGCCGATTCATGTTTAAATTAAATAAAGGAAATGCGTATTAAATTATTTATTACTATTAAATTTGATTAATTATGATTATAATATTAAAACTAATAAATATGATAATCTATCAAAATACCCACTATAAATACTGAAAAGATAAGAATGATTCCAAAAATTATGACTCATGTAATAAATATTAGTACATTTTTCCATTAAAGATTTTGGGTTTAAGTGTACCTTATTTACACAAAGGTTTTTGTGTTCATACAAATTTTCCTTCCAAAATTTAATTTGGGTGTTTTCAAGACTAGAGTGACTAGGCTGTTACTGAAATTGTGTCTTCACTACCTACGACTTTATGTCCACCTTCCAACGAGTAGAATAATTGAGAACCACTTTCTAGTCATAATCAAAGAACTCGATTGTCTTAATTTTTTATTATTTTTAATTATAGAGTCATAGAAAATTTATGAAAAATATAAAAAACTTTGTTTTTTAATTAAAAATACTTTTGCTGACGGTACTTTTTTCAGCTATGCCACACGTAATTCCCAATCAAACATATTTTGTAAATTGGCTTTTAATTCATCTTTAATTTATATTCATAACTTTTTTAATTTTTTATGGAATCAATATTGGATTGTTAATATGGTCAAATGAAAAAGGTGTAGTATAAAAAAGTGCTGTACCTTGTAAAAACATCAGGATAGTGAGTTCTAGAGAATGCTTTCTCCAATTCTTCGAGCTGGAAACTTGTGAAGGTTGTTCTGTATCGTCTCTGCTTCCTCTTGGGGGCGAAGTCGTCGGGGTCGTCGCTGTCTGCAGACCCGGGGGGTGGTCGCTCCGAAGGGGACTGGTCGTTTCTTGATAGCTCAGGAGTTGTTCTTGGGGAATCGTCCTTTTGAACCTCCGACACACCCATACCAGTGTACTTTTGATATGAATCTTGGTGGTAGTACTCTGTAATATGACATTAATAATTTTAGTTTTTGTTTATTTATATTTTTATGAACCTAACAATATACAATACGATTGTAGTCCCACAGTAAATATGAATCACTTTCAGACAACCTTAGGTGAGAGGAATACATTAATTGCTATTGAAAAAACGGAATTACTTATACATAATATTATATAACAAAAGTTTATATAGATGTTAATTTCGTCAAACAACATGATGATGGATAAGTCACAAAAAAATTTACTTAATGGCATAAATGTAAAATAAAAATTTCCAATGCAATAAAGAATTTCAGACTCACGCTGAAAGATTGTTTCATAGTTTGTTGGATTTGATATGGTTTTATAAATTATGTGATATAAATAAAGATAAGTCCCTACTTATAAAGTCTCCTTACCATTAATACGATATATTTTATTATTTAATTTTAGTATTTTTGCTTTCCTAAAGGCATTGTGAAGTATCATAGTTTGTTTCTGTTTTTAAGTAAACCTCAAAGACCCATATCTTAAATAAGATTACTACAAAGTAATAAAAACATCTGCTTGAAAATAAACCAATATTAGAATATAGTTAAGTAAAAATTGTTCTATTCATTAAAATCTCAGATACTTAAAATATGATGTGCAATCCGGTCAGGGGCGTATATTTTTCCCTTAATATAACAATTTAATTAAAAATTTAAATTGGTAATATGATGATGATATAATGAATGATATTTAATAACGAGACCTATTAAATCATTACAACATAATAGTTGATGTAATTTATAGCGAAAATTAATTTATGTAAATTTTTATTGTTAGCATGAAAACATGTCAAGTGTATTCATTGAAATAATTATATATCTCTGATAAATTAAATTCTACCAACGACGTTGAAGGAATTTTATTAATTTGATTCTGTCATATTCTTAGGTATGTTTGGAGCCAATGTGGAGTTTAATTTGTCGTGCATAGTCACGTCTCTGTACTAATATATTAGGAAAATAAGATCTCAGACTGGTGATTATACATATTTCTAGACTAGAATATGTCGTGTAGATGAGAGTCTATTTTTGCTATTCACGAGATAATCCAAACAGGTTCATTGGCAGATAACTTTAAAGAAAAATTATGGAATATTTTTTTCGATAAAATATAATATTTTATCAGAATTAGTTATTTAGATCATAATTCAGCTATAATACCTACTTTAATAGATTATTTAAATGTCGAAGTTCGATACATATTTAAATTGTGTTAAAATTATTATACAGATATTATTAAATTTAAGGAACATAAAATATTTAATAAATTTTTGCGAGTACTTAAATATTATTTTTGGATTTTACTCAAATTTTTTAATAATTTTATTTTGATTCGGCTCTTAACGGGTTACATGCATTCCCTTCATCTTACCGGAATATTCAATACGTCATATTTGTAATCATCTACTAAACTAACTAATGATATAAAACTTAGCTATTTAGTCAAGTTTTTAGATTCAACAAGGGTGATTTTTTATAATTAAAATTCAAGAATCCCTTAATATATAAACTTTTGTTATATAAATAATTTAGAATTTTTTTACAATTTTGACTGGACTGTAGGTGGAAAGTCGTAGATCGTGAACTCACTGTTTCACCTGTTCATTCCAGTCTTGAAACACTCAAATTATAACTGGAAGCAAACTCCTAATTCTTTCTAAATCCCAATAAATCCAATTTATCTCTAGGGTTAAGTTGATACCACTTCAAAACTATGCTGTTAACGGCATGACCAAAAACAACTGATAATTACAGATTCTTACGTGCACCAAAAATAGAGATTACAACTTTATAATTATTGTGGAGCAATTACACAGTTGAAGATGATTAACTGTGTCCTAGACAATAATAATTTGAGGTTTTTCTTCAATAGATTAAGAGCTTGAAACTGTATGATGTAGTTTATTATGAGCGTTATTATCTTTTCTAAGTAAATACAGAATTTGCCAGTTTTCCTACTACTGTCATTCCGATAGAACCAACGATAGTATAATTACAATATTCTTCAGTATTTATAAATGTTTTCTTGGCAATCTGTGGAAGTAAATATATTTTATCGGTCATTAAAAATAGACATCTTTTTAATATAAATTAAGGTAGGTATATGTATGAGCGGCATTTATTTGAAGACATTTGTAAAGGATTTCAATTCAATTCGTCAGTAACATATTTGTTTTATATATTATATTTTTGTATGGAAAATAAACTAAATTTAATTATTTGAAATGTTTAAATTTCTTGAGCCATGATTTACATTATGTACTGTAATGTTAATTATATAGCTAGAAGGAAAGAATGATTTTCATGTTGTTTTATTCAATAAGAAAATATTTATAAAACCTACATTGAGATTACATCATATTCAAGAGATTAAATACTTTTAATTTCATTTCTAAGGAATTTGATAAAATGTACACTCAGTTTACTACAGATTTCCTGCAAATTATGAGTCAATATGCAATATTATTTATTAAAATGTCAGCTTAATAGATTATACAATTTTTAATTATAAATAATTAATATGTTATTTGATTTCATTCAAGTGATTTAACATTATGTTTAAATTAATTTCTATATTTAAATCAAATTTAATATTATATTATAAAAAAACGAATCATTTTATCGTACATTCAATACATTTTAATGAATGTTTCAATCAAATTCCATATCGTCAGGAGGCCTTTTAAGAAATAATAATCAGTCTTTATTTGGAGGAAGCGAAACGACTTTTTATTTATTTATCTATATATGTGATTTATAATTGCATTATTAACCAACTAGCCCTGACCCCTGATTCTCGTGATCAATCGACATTTAATAAATTAATGCCATTAACTTAATTACGCTCTTATTATGGCGTTGCCTGTAATTGGTAAGCTATTACACGTCAACCTCTAGTGCATTAGGTTGTATTCACACCGAACGCATCAAGACGGTTTTTCATCCCCTAGTATTAAGTAATACGTCAGGGTGTTATACGTTTCACCTGTGTCTGCGTGTATGTGGCTTGGTGATTGTTAAGTGCATATAATGATTGTCATAGACATTTTTCTTTGAGAGCCATCGTTATCGAAATGTTAAAAAAGATATAATTTTAATAAAATCTGCTTGTATGTTTGATAATAATTGAGTAGGTCATCTCTTTCTTCAACATTCAACAGTTAGTCCTAACCTTTTCACTTTAAACTGATTTGTATTTTGGTGAATCGTCTATAGATAAGAACCAAAAACCAACAATATATGTATATATGCGTATAACGCTAGTAAAGTTATGTCGCATTCTTAATAAGTGTTTTTTTTCATTTCAAACTGTATTTAAGTATGTTATTAACAGTTTCGTAGCGTCCTCTTTAATAATGTCTCCTCAGAATTGAATTAACGCTAACGTTATAATTACTTCTCGTAACACCTAGTGTTGTCTTTGACTAGAATGTTATATAAATGTCAAAAAGAATTCTCATAAAGACATGATAGTAAAACCACGAGTTTATTTCTTTCATAGAAATAGTAATACACATATAGCCTGAAAAAAACTCATTCAAGTTGTGTCATTAATTAGCCTAGCTATTATTTTTATCCTGTCCAAAATAGTAATGTTTTTGACATATTAGTTTGAGAGAATATAATTTTAGTTGTCTAAGAGATTAAAGTACATAGTTTCGTTGCCTACTATTTGATTTAATATTTCACAATTGGTTTAGACGTCTAATAAGACGTGCGTGTCACATAATATGTAGTCATATTATGTATAATGAAAAGGGACCCTAATTCCAAACGCATTTAGCCCACTTATAACTCGTTGGATTTAGTGTTAGTTTAATAAGAAGGAAGTTATAAAACACAAATTATAAATAAATTATCAAGATCGCAAGATATTTTAGATTAATATGACGTTTTTTTGCAAAATGATTGAAAAGAGAAGTAGTTCCGTTAATATTCTATGTGATTCATAACCATATTATATCTTTTTAAAATTGCTTTAGTTTTATGTGTAAAGTAAAATATAATAATAATAAAACATTGGCTAAATAATGTAAAAAGAAATTCAATTAAAAAAGGAACTATTTTACAAAAGCAATCTGTTTTTAACTTCAGTTAATTGTTCGTAAATAAATTTAAAAACTGATAATTTAGTAGGTATATATTAAAGGTTTTTAATATATGCAAACATAACTTATAAACTGTGACTATCTCAATACTGACCAATTGTAATAATTTTTATGGTATTTCTTATAAATAATTACTCATTATTTTGCAATATGATTTGACGTAACACTAAATTGCATTGAAAAACTTATATCATAAATACAGTACCTTGTTTTGGGTGGAAACTTTTTCTTGAATAATAGAAAACAGCCTGACGTGTTAAACGACAAACACAGTTCGCACTTCCTTAACAAATATTAGACGCGGTTAATTTAGCGTTATCAATACAAAGAATTGATAATAAAACCAATGAGATAAGAAAGTGGCCATTGATTTAATCTACGGATAAGTGATTAATGGATGTATAAAAATATAAATAATATTTAACAGATGTTTAGTTTTGAGTAATTCAAGGAAACGATTTTATCAGTTTCCGATAATGCTGCAGATTCTCATGACTTGATCACCCGAATATTAGTTAGCGATGATTCAAACTGCTAAGAAAATATTTTAGTAGTCTCTCTTTAAACTTTCTTAGTTTCTAGCTAGGTTCGTTTTAAAACTTCAGTCGAAATCGTATTTTTTACAGAACTTTTTTAAAAGTTTTTAAAAATATCAGTCAGTTTTATATTTTATATTATTAGGCAGTTCAAAGTTTGTATTGGTTCCTGACCGGCAATTTTGTTAAATTAGATCCTTCTTATTGTGTAACCAACAAAGTTTAAATATAGCTAGCTTAGCTTTAAGAAAATGTATACCAAACGGAGTTGCAGTTACTTACACTTGCTCATTTAATAAAACAACATGAAGAACTTAAATTTGTTT